CTTATCTTTCCCTCGTGCCTCAGGAGATGAAAGAAAATGTTTTTCTCCCTGAGTCTGGCCTTCATAATTCCATTCCATCACAACTATAAACCCAAATCATTCCTTTGAAAAGAATTAGACTAAATCATACATTAATAATATTCAGATGAGCCTAGTTAGGTTAGCAATAGTGAGTCAGTCTAGGAAGACCAGAATGGTGACTGACTCATTAAACTTATTATTAATTATTATTCATTCCTAGATCTCAGATTAGGAATATTATTCATTCATTCATTTAGCTTATTACGGTCACTGACCAGTACAGATGAGGAATATTACTGAAGAATCTCTTATATTTAAAAAATGTGGAAGATCTTGGAAATCAGAAAAAGTTTGCATATCACGGTCCTAGGGGTGAAAATGTAACCTACCAAGACAAGAAAAACAGGCTTTGCACATTATGCTACACCGTAAAGTGGTTGTTTGATTTTGGCTTTGGATAATGTTTGAATCAAGCTACTGTGATTTATAAACCATGATTCATGGCTTAACATAATGTACAAATAACTAAACAACTAAGAATAAGGAATGTGATCAATAATCTGGCAGTGAAAAAGAATGTTATCAGCAGGGGACAGAGAAGTTGTCTGGAACTGGAGTTCAATTCTCATCAGTCCTAAATTAGAACTTGATGGGCCCCAGGTTCCACACCACTGGGGATATTTCTGGTGATTTCTCTTTATTTCAGGAAATGAAGAAAGTATGCTGTTAACTAGGTGAAGTACCGAATATTCCAATTACATGAACAGCTCCTCTCTTTTCCTGTCCTCCACATCACACTTAATAATACTTTTGCTTTATTTCTATCTTCTATTATACTTTGCTGCTCAGGGGACTATGCATACTTTTTAGTAATCTACTCCTAATACCGTACTAGACAACTAATATTTGGAGTGGGGAGGACAATAAAAATTACAGAAGTACATGAAAAGAGGAAGGTGATGGCATGTGTTCTGTAGGAATAATTTCACAAGCCACTCTATAGATACAGGATGTTACAGCTGTGGTTTCTGAGCTATTTTCAGATGTTTATTGCCCATCTAGCTCATTCTATTTCTTCAAGAAATAACCATTTAAATTGGCAGCTAGGCCAAAAGTACAAATTAAAGAGCCAGATTCATGCAACTATCCTGGAGGCATTCTTCCTGGACATGGAAGGCAGCTACAGATAGTCCTCGACATACGACAATTGGGACCGGAACTTCCATCGCTAAGTGATGTGGTCATTGTGAACTGTGCCCGGTTTTACCAACTTTTTTGCTATGGTCATTAAGAGAATCACTGTAGTTGTTAAGCAAATCACACAGTTGTTAAGCAAATCCAGCTTCCCCCACTGACTTTGCTTGTTGGAAGCCCCATGAGAAGATTGCAAATGGCGATCATGTGACCCTGGGACACTGCAACCATTGCAAATACATGCCAGTTGCCAAATGCCTGAATTTTGATCATAGGACCACAGGGACGTTGTGATGGTTGTAGGTGCAAAGACCGGTCGTCACTTTTTTCAGCGCCATCATAACTTTAGTCATTAAATGAATGGTCATATGTTGAGGACTACCAGTATATCCTGATCAAGTAGTCAGAAAAAAAATGACCATTGTTGCCATCTTGTGAATTTCAGGAGTGTAGCAAGATTGGTAGATCTCACTCAGGAACCATTTGTATGGGAAAATGATTTAAGATTAATTTTGAATTAATGTAGAGTCAAAATCACTGCATTTTGGGGCTTACCACCCTTTTTTTGGGTCCTTGGGTGATTTCTTTGTCCTTTATCCTCACCAATGCATCTTCCTCAATGTTTGTTGCTTGCTATATCCATCACCATTCGGTAAATGGGCAGATCTTTCATAGCAGCCATTTCTGACAACACCCATGATACTATCCAACATTTCAGATACGCACATTTCAAAACCTCTGTTTTCACACTGGTCATGGGCTATATGAACTTCATAGTTTGCACCAGTTTACATGCAGTGTGTGTATTTGGGTGCACACAGAGAAGGTACTTGCCTGTCAAAGAAGAGACATGCTTACTTTGCAAATTGAAGGATGTTGCGATAGCAGCTGTACAATGAGCTCTCTGCTGCTGTTCGGTATCGACTTTTATATTTGGGTCCCACAGTGTGAATGATGAAGCGGGCAGCAAGGTTAAACCCCTTGGTTAGCTTTGCTTCCCCTGTCCGACAACCTAGTAAGAAACCAGAACAAGACAGGCAATGTCAAACCAATGGCCACCCAAGCATTTTATTTTCAATTTAGAATCCCCTTTATACTCTTAGATGAACTTGGATACAGGGACTTTATATACTATAGCCAGTTTTTATAGGATAGCTGGATGGAGAAGAAACCAGTTGTTCAGTAAAGATAATGGTTTCATTCACCTTTATATTAAACTATGATTTAGCAGACCAACTGCATGCCTGTTAGTTATGCTATAACTATTTGTTAACTAAACAAATTCCATGCTGACTGGAATTTATGGAAATTATAGACCAACAGACAGCAGCTGTCTGGAAAAGTCTAGTTTAGGATTACGAGTCTTCTAATGCCAGGTCAATTTCTTGACAAAACATCTTGGATGAAAACACTGACCTGGCATTTATTACAAGACCTGCCTGAGAGAAGAGGAGAGAGTTATTCCTAGTACTGTACTGTCTGTCAGGTTGCACTAAGATGCAGTCAGTAAGGGTGGGGAGCTGACATGGTTGTAGTTATGAGTCCATCTCACTGATCAGAAGCTCCATCAAGTAGCCTACTAAGTCTAAGTGCTTCCTGTTGCATTTGGATGGCTGGAAAGTATAAGGTAGTGTTTGTCTACTTTCTACCAGCTGCACAAGAGTCTCTTTTCCTGAGCTAGCAGGGGCATCTCTGACCTTGCAGTACACTACCCTAGACTTTTTGTTCTCAGAAACTTAAACGACCACTATGAGGTCACTCATTAGTGGTTCAGGGTTTTCTGTCCACCTGACAATCATGGACCTTTTCCAGTTGCAAATTTCA